TGGCGTTTTAAATAATCCCTCTTCATTTACATTAAAATGGCCGCCGCGCTGTGCCGACGATCAGCTGATCTGGCACAGCGGGGCAGTCTAGACACGCCGCGGTCGACAAAGGCTTCCCTTGTTGACCACGGCACGTCTAGACTGCCCCGGTGTGCCGTATCAGCTGATCGTCGGCACAGCGCAGAGGCCATTTTGATGTAAATGAAGCACAATTATTTAAATCACCACTTCATTTTGCTATGTCTAGTAAACTCATCTACATGGCTCTGTTGACGGAGCCATGTAGTCTAGACACGCCCCAATTGTTATCCAGAGCAGCATGTTCTGGCAAATCTGTGTTCCAATTTTCTTTCAAAAGCTGTTAGTTAAACTTTAAATGCAGACAAGCATGAATATATGGCATTCCATGTAATCAGAACTCAGAAGACATTCTGTCGCTGATAAATCTAACCCCAGTTCCATGAACTTTGACAACATTAATTTTGAACAGTGGTCAAAAAGAGAAAAGGTTAAATTACATGTAACCTGACAGGCATTTTGATTCAAAATGCAAATAGTAACTTTCTAAAGGCCACATCCAAAGGGAATCATAAATTTTCTGCTATGATGCCCTTAAAAAAGAGGCAGTTTATATATTTCATCCACATAGTTAATATTCAGATAACTATTTTAGTTTTTCTAAATCCCTATTAAAATCCATTTTTTTAAGTCCTTTCCAAAAGCAAAGGAAATCCACAAATCTATGTGCTATATTTGTTATCAAGCCACAGTGACTCAGTTAGAAGCTTAAAGACCTGAAATGGCCCAAATAAGGGAGCATCTGTTTTTTGGGGGTTTTTTCATTAGCGAGACATTGATCTGTTTGCCTAACTGTCCTTCTTCTTCATTTGCTGATTATTTTTCTTCTATAGTGATAGTCAGATGTTGGTATTATAGTGGCAAATCTGTGCCTGTACACCACTATAGGTTTACTCACTGAACAGCTTTATGTAACCTAGTAGCTGTAGTACTAGTTTCTAGACTGTATAGAAAACTACCATTGTAATAAGACATTGTGACTACAGTGTAATTACATGCCTGCTTGTAATTTCCTTCTAGTCAGTACCAATACTATTTTAGGACTTATTACAATTATTTTGAAAAAAAGTGCAGTGATAAGATCATCCCATTTCAGTCCCGGTGTGTGTGTGTGTGTGCGTGCTTATACACATTCACATTTTGGGAAGGGGGATCCTACGTTCACATCACAAATCAATCTGCTGGAAATTTTATAGTTGAAGTTGTGTTACATTAAAGGCAATGAGCAGCAACCTTGCTGGAACATGTTTCACTCCAGTCAAATGAGAACATGAGGTTTGTGGAAGACAAGTTGCTCAGGATGATCCCAGCCCGTAGTGTCCTGTAAAGATGCAAATGGGCATCACCTTGACTATACATTTATCACGCCTTCAATTAAAAAAAACTATCACAATTCAGTGTTCCGAAAATCACTAAAAATACTTTTAATGTCAGGAAACCAGACTGCCCTCTGCTCTGTAATATAGACACAGTATGACAGATTATCCTGGGGTACATTTTTTTGTGTCACGTGTTTGTAAGAAACAGTTATCCAGGATAAAATTCACAGTACATGAGTCATTCATGATTCATTAGGTATCTTTGGTAATATTGTACATTTATGTACACTGCAAGTACCAATTCCTTTGGATACTTAGTGTAATTCATTATATCTATATCGACTAACTTAAGTAATGTTGTAATAGTATCTTCTGTCTGTACATTTTTTGTGACATATATGCTGTATAGAATGAAGTCAGACTGGCAAAACCAAAGTTATTCTGCACATTTATATTACAGATCACTCCTACTCATTAACTAAATAGCAATTACAGTGCAATTAATATTATGCCCTTTATATTTGACAAAAGTGGTATTTGTGGCTCTATAATGTCTAAATGTTATAGCTTTTAAAAATAGCATACTATTTCCAAAACAGTTTCAGTGTAATAGGATTTTCACTAAAGAATGTAAGTTGTATTTTTAAAAAGTTCTCCTAACTATAAATTATTAAAGTACAGAGGAGTACAATGACATGGCCTTAAAAGATCTGTCTTTTAGAAAAAAAAAGTCTACCATTGTTTGTAAGGTTATTCACAGGTATTACACAGACAGATGAGGAGTCACAGATATACAGCCCTCCTGCTTTCTCAGGCAATAGGTCTCCTTTTAGTTTCTTGTTGAGTTCTATTTTGTCAATTCACAGCTTCCCACCCTAGTTTAAAGTGACTGGATTGTCCACAATAGCTGTGTTAAGTCTTAAGATGCAAAATTTATTTACAAGACAGTTGAAATGTTGCAGTCATGTAACTATGTTCACTCCAATGCAGTATTAGAACGGGCACAGCAGCTTGGGTATCTCAGAGAGTGCATCACTGTTCTAAATGGCCTTTTCTTTGTCTCTTTAGCTGGAGGCGGCTCCTCAGTACTTTTCCTAGACAGCTCTATAGGCTCTGTCTGGAACTGTTCTATTTGAATTTCAAGATGTTTTTGAATGGCCAATCCAAGAACTTCTGGGTCCACAGCTGCCCCATATACTTCCCATGTCATCCCTTCATCATCCCATCTCACTTCACGTACCGGAGACTTTGGGGCCTCTTGGCCATGTTCTAAATTAACCTCTGGGAACACATGAGGGTGACCTTCAGCTGCTACAGATGGGCTTGTGGCCACAGACTTACATTCCATTACTGAAATGGTTTGTACTTCTGCATCTTTACACTCCAGGGGAGATTTCAGTCCTTTGGTTAAGTCATTCATAGAGGTCATAGTCCAGGTGTCTTTAGTCTTCATTATCATGTCTGCACATTGCTGATTACCTCTGGGAACACATGAGGGTGACCTTCAGCTGCTACAGATGGGCTTGTGGCCACAGACTTACATTCCATTACTGAAATGGTTTGTACTTCTGCATCTTTACACTCCAGGGGAGATTTCAGTCCTTTGGTTAAGTCATTCATAGAGGTCATAGTCCAGGTGTCTTTAGTCTTCATTATCATGTCTGCACATTGCTGATTCTGCG